GCACCTCAAATGAACAGGGCTTAGCACTAGTAGGCACTAAATAAATATGGATTTGGCAAAGGGCATGTGTTAGTTCATTTTCACACTGCTGTAAAGAACTGTCCGAGACTGGAGAGTTTATAAGGGAAAGAGGTTTAATTGATTCACAGTTCCGCATGGCTGGGAAGGCCCCGGGAAACTTACAATCATGGTGGAAGGCAGAGTAGGCACATGTTACACAGTGGCAGCAGTGAGAGAGACAGTATGTAGGAGGAACTGTCAAACACTTACAGAACCATCAGATCTCGTGAAAACTCACTATCATGAGAACAGCATGGGGGAAACCGCCCCCATGATCCAATCACCTCCCACCAGGAACTGCCCTCAGCACGTGGGAATGATGGGGATTGCAGTTGGAGCTGAGATTTGGATGGGGACAGGACACAGAGCCAAACCCTGTCAGGGCAGAAACCTCTAAGGCTTTACGATCGCAGATCCACTGCACTGCAGCCACCCCCTCGGCTGCACAGACATTCCCTTTCTCGCACTTTGCTGCTGGAATCACTGGTCTTTTCACCTTCATAGGAGGTGTCACTCCAAGATGTCCGGAAAGAAATCAACTTCTGCCGCAAGGTGAAGCTGCCCATCATCGGGGTGGTGGAGAACATGAGTGGATTCATCTGTCCTAAATGCAAGGTGAGGGCGCGTGGGGCCGCCAGGCGAGCCCAACAAGGTCCTGCTCTCATGGTTGAGGAAACAATCGAAAGGCTGCTCTGCAAACCGTTTCTGCTTTCCCAGTAATTTTGGGAAGTGGAATCACAATTAAAATCCCTTTCTGCTGACTGAAGGAAAGTTCTTTTGGTGTTAAGTGTTTCACATTCAAACTAAACCTTTTTTCCTAAAATGTGGTCCATCCTTGTGATTCTACAAAAAAATGATGTTTCGTCCCCTTTGAATTTGCTTTGCAGAAAGAATCTCAGATATTCCCTCCCACGACCGGGGGTGCGGAGCTCATGTGCCAGAACCTGGAGGTCCCTCTCCTCGGCAGAGTGCCCCTGGATCCACTCATAGGTGGGTGACCCCCATGTGGGGCGGTACCTCACTCCTCAGTCAACCCCACAGGCATGGTTCGGGCACAATGGGGGCAGCTACGGAGAGGGGCAATGGAAGGAGGAAGGTTAGTAGGGCGCTGGAGCCAGACCCACCCTCCAGCTGGCACCCCAAGAGGCCACCAGGAGAGAGGCCAAGACCCCTGTGGGCAGGTCGTGGGAGCAAGCAGGCCTCAGGCAGAGGGATAAGGCCTGGAAGAACGGGGTAGAAGTTGGTGAGGGTGCTGGTGCCAGGGGACTGAGGAGGGTGCCTGATAGAGGGGCACCAGGGAATGGGCATGGCATCCAGGTTACAGAGAAGGGCAGCCTGAGGTGAAAAATCCCTCAGGAAGGAGCCCAGCCTCCTGCGCCCCGAGAAGCCAGCATCTCACAGATGAGGCCCCTTTGTCTCCAGCACTAGGACAGACGGGAACGCGGATCACTGGCCTGCTAGCAGGGGCCAAGTTCCCAGCAAATGCTCTTCTTCAGTGCCTGGGTCCCCCAGGATCCCAAGAGATGCCCACTCCCTGAGTGGCCCTGGGGCTGAAGGAGGGACGGGGTTCACGTCTCCACCCACATGCCTGCAGGGCACCCACTCGCAGCGGGGCGCTGGGCAGGGCCTACACTCGACGCTGCTCCCCCAGCAGGCTGCTGTCCGCCAGGACCGCAGAGCCAGGTGGGCCTCCATCACTGTTACTGGGGCCCACAGTGGGGCTCCTGCCGGGGGTCCAGCACTAGCCTTTAGGTCTGAGGGGAGAACAGAGAGAGAAGGCTGGAGGGGAGGCCAGGGTCCAGGAGTGCCGGCTGCACCCACACCTCGGAACTTCTACTTCATTTGTCAGGGAACCAAGGCCAGTGAGAGGTGTCTGCGGGGATGGGAGCGAGGGGGATGGGAGCGAGGGGGATGGGAGCGAGGGGGATGGGAGCGCGGGGAATGGGAGCGAGGGGCTGGGCAAGGGGCAGGGCGGGTAAAGAATGCCCTGGCCAGGAGGGTGGAGGCCTAGTGCTTGGGGAGAGGGCGGGGAGAGCCTGGAGACTGGGAGCGGGAAGCCACAAAGCCACGTGGGGAGCCTTGGGGAAGGGCCTGGCTGCAGGGGAAGAATAGGAGCCTATGAGAAACAGCTAAGTGTCTGAGTGTCAGTGTCACATACCTGGGAGCAGGAGGCTCGGGGGCAGCTACCCTGGGATAGAGGTTCAGGATGAGGCCCTGGGTTCTGGTGTTGGTATAGAAAGGAAGGGACACACACAATAGAGAAAGTGACGGCATCTGAGGGTCGAGTTGCCCCTGCTGCCAGTACAAGCCACCTGGAGGAGGGTCTGTCCCTCAGAGACAGTGAGGACAGGTTGAGGGAGGCCAGGCCTTCTGGGGTGCTGTGGATGAGGGGCTTGGGGGCTTAGGTTGTCAGCAGGCTCTGGGGTCCGTCAGGAGAAGGTGGTTCGTGTCCATGCAGTTGAGTGTTGAAGCCATAAGACGTGGACAGGATTGCCAAGCGGGAGCCGGGAGGACTGTGTTAGGGGACAGCTGCCTTGAGGAAGTGGTGGGGGAGTGAGTGCGAGGGCCACTCTGAAGATGGGAACAGCCCGGGAGAACGCCAGAGACCCTGTGTGCCCCGGAGACTGTGTCCCCAAATCCTTTTTCCCTTATTCCCACATCCCACAATACTTCTCTGGCATGTGATTTCCCCAACAAAATGCAGAAAAGTACAGCTGCTTTCTCAGCCTTCCCCAGCATTATAAAACACTCACCAGGCAGCTTTTGCAGTGGCCGGAAGTGGTGCTGAGAGCTGCCCTCTAAGGCCCCTGGAGGCAGTCAGGCTGCGTGAATGGATGTGACTGGGGACGGGAGCTTGCAGCAGCCCAGGGCACATCCATTCCTGCTAGCCTGCGCCTCTGCCGCAGTTCAGCTCTGCCGAGATGGGATTGGTAGGCAGGACATTTGTCAGGGGAAACA